ATTGAGAACATAAACAATCTGACTACGGTTTTGGGAGGTGGGGACTTTGAGAGATGATTAAGGTTGAATAAAGCCAGAGGATGGAGCCCTAATCCAACAGTACCTCGGTTTTACAAGAAAAAGGAGGAGAGACCCGAGTTAGGACATCTGGCTTGCCATGTGATATACTGCATCACCTTGGAACTCTGCAGAATTTACAGGAAGAGGAAGGATTCACCAAATACAGCTGCCCATCAATCCTGAAATCCCCAGACATTAGAGCCATGAACCAAATACACCTTGATTCTTTATAAATGACTCAGTCTGTTGTACTCAGTTACAGCAACAAAAAATAGACTAAGATCACCCTTGAAGACATGCTTAGTGAAATAAGTCAATACAATTCCATAATTCCTCATATACAAGGTTCCAATGTTAGTCAGATTCAGAGACTAAAAGTAGAATTGTGGCTGCCAGGAACTGGGGTGAGGGACTAATAGGGAGTAGTTATTTAATGGGTGAAGGATTTCCAATTGAATGTATTTAAGCACTGCTGAACTGTATGCTTAAAAATGGTTCAGGTGGATCCAGGTGCCGTGGCGCATGCCTGTAATCCCAGCAGCTCAGAAGGTTGAGGCAAGAGGATTTCGAGTTCAAAGCCAGCCTCAGCAAAAGCAAGGAGCTAAGCAACTCAGGGAGACCCTGTCTCTAAACAAAATACAAAATAGGGCTGGGGATGTGACTCAGTGGTCAAGTGCCCCTGAATTCAATTCCCAGTACCAAAAAAAGAAAAAAAGAAAAGAAATTAGTTCATATTTACCACAATTTTTTTTAATTCTTAGAATTTTAAAATATGAAAAACAAATTTAAGAGAACTCTAAGGTATCATAAAGATATCGAGTACAGGAAACAGCTCCCAACTCTAGGTCTGGGGAATAAAAGGAAGAAATTAGAATTAATGAATTTAGGAACTTAAAGGAAGAGACCAAAGGACCTAAGACACAGACCCCAAAGGGGTGGTGGCACCAGCTAGTGTTGGTGTGTCAGACACGAGGCATTATGAGGTTGCTTTACTAGTGCTGGAAATCTACAAACTGGCTTCTGCCAGATGGAACTACTGCTGCCTGAGGTGACTCTCATAAGAAGCTCAACAACAACAACAACAAAAATCCCGGATGGAGCAGGTGCTTTCCTTTTCCTCCTGCCTCTCGGTGTCCCACTAACATTCCCCAACAGCCTAGACCACTCTAGAAGCAATTGGAAAAGCATAGAGATCGTGTAAAGAGCCCCAGATCTAGCATCCCAAAGCCAAATGCTAAAGAGCACACTTGGAGCTGAGATATAATCACTTAATTCCTGATAGAAACATTAAGAAATAACAAGGATAGAGGAGGGCAAATTCCCCTCTTTCCTTTTAGGGTCTGTGACTCATCAGGTTTGTGAGTTAGGATGACAAAAAACAGATTAATGGAAGAAGATGTATACAAATTTGATTTGATGCTAATATCTTAATTTTTGCAGGCATGAAGGACTTCACAGGAAAGAAATGAAGAATCAAAGATGTGGTTAAGCTCAGGGAGCTTATATGTCATTCGAACAAAGGGCCACGAACTATGGAGAAGTGACAAGTCAAAAGAGGCTTGTTCTTCTGGGGGTGGTAAATCACGGAAAGGAAGACCTATGGGGAAACTAATGGAAGAAAGAGACTGTTTTTTGTAAGATTTATTTGTGTGGATCCATCTTGGTATCAAGTCTCTGTCCCCAGTGATAACGGTGGTTCTCCTGGTGTGGGAGAGGAGCAGGGGAAACACCTACATGAAGGGAATTTGTCCTGCTTTGAAGGAAAACAAAGGGCAAAGAGCATTCTCTACATTTGTTGTTTCTTAACTTCCTTCAGCTCAAAAGAATCTTTTATCCAAAGCAGTATATTTGGGGTGGCATAGTCCAATCCTCTTCAAAAGCAAGAAAAAGAGCATCAAATTTACTTGGGATTTTCAACATCTTTTTTAAAAATATATTTTTAGTTTGTAAATGGACACAATACCTTCATTTTATTTATTTATGTATTTTTATGTGGGTGAGGATAGAACCCAGCACCTCACACCTGCCAGGCAAGCGCTCCACTACTGAGCCACAACCCCAACCCCTTCAACATATTTTAAAGCAATATCTACATTTAGCTTATATTTCTGAAGTTCTACTTTAAATTTTTTTAAAAAATGAAATGCTATTAAGAAAACCAAAAGTATTATTACATTATAATATTATATTACTTAATATTTTCAAATCCATCTCCGTTTGTGAATATCTTATCTAAAGTGCTCAAGAAAGTCTCTATAGAAGTTAATTTCAAAAATGACACATGAATCTTATCCTTTGCAGTTATTAAATGTTTTTGCTTTCTTGGTTTAGTTTCCTTATATATTTATTACAATATCATTTTATTACATATTTCTTGTGTCAGTTTGATTTAGAAAAACTATTTTGTCGGGGTTTTAAAAAAATTTTAATACTTTTAAAAGTGAATAGCTAAACTTAGATCCCTTTGTATTTCTTGTAACCTCTGCAAACCTCAGTTATATCAAATTTAATATTAATTTCTTTTTTCTGCCAAAGTCCATAATCACTCAATTTGAGAATCTTCTGCTGCTCTGCCTAACTCTTCTAATGCACCTTGAATCCTATCTAAATTAAATCTAATTGCTTTCACAACATTTCCCAGCCATGTTATCTGAGAGTGGTTGCAAGATCAAATTTGATATGAATTTCTTAGAAATATGCCAATTTACATTGCTCCAGAGATTATCAGACATAATCTCTGAATTACTCTTCAAAAATATAATTACAATTGGCACAGTTGAGGCCATGTCTCATAGTAACAAATTCCAACTATGCACAGTACCTGGCACAGGAACAGTTCTAGATATTTCAGCCCAAGGTCTAGTATGCCTACCTTTTCCTTTACCAACCGTATTGTGTGATGGTCCTAGGCTGCCCTTTTCCATCTTTTAAATTAATACCTAATATAGAAAGGAGAATCTTTTAGTTCTTCAATTACATTTTTAAGTATATTCTTTACAATGGTTGTAAAAGGAATGAAAAGCTCATTTTGACCTCTTTGTTTTTGCCTTCTTATTCAATAATATGTACAGTAAATGTTAAGTTGTAACACTTTACCTCTGCCACAGGTTGAACTGAGTACTACAGACCTCTTAAATTTTTATACATGACATTTTGTCCCACTTAACTACCTGTTAAATTAATAATTACATATTGAGTTTTCCATCCTAGATAGTGATAATTTGTTTTATAGTTTCTTATCCATCTTACATGTTTAGCCATCCTAGCATTAAACTCTGAAGTTATTTCTAGTGAACTTAGTTCTTTCTCTCTCCCTCTCCCTTTCTCTCTCCCTTCCCCTCTCTCTCTCTCTCTCTCTCTCTCTCTCTCTCTCTCTCTCTCTCTCTCTCTCTCAATACTGAGCCACAAAAATATCTTTGTTGAGCTTGTTTTTCAAACCATCATGCCAAGGTTCTCTATGAGCATGTACTTGTCTGTGTGGATACTATTATTTGCTAATTATTTCATTGTTTTTGTTCCATTTAGTAATTGCATCTGAGTCTTTTTGTGAGCAAGTGACATTTCATGATTGTAATTTAATTTTCATTGAGAAGAGCAAGAAGTTGCAAGACATTTCTTCTGATCTGTTATGAATTTGCCTAAAACAATTCTCTGAATCTTTTTTATTGGCTAATAGTTAAAATCCTCATTAAAAAAGAAATTTGTAATGCTTTGTTTGCAAATCTTGCATTGGTCGTGTTCAGTGGAAATCTGCTCTTTTTCATTGTTTTTAATTTTTAAAAAATTAAGCCCACTGCTTCTTTGAAACCTTTTTCTTTTTTTAGCTTTTTAAAAAATATTTCTGGGTTATACTTTTATATGGTTAGTTTTCATTTCTATCCAGTCTCTATGTCTCTTCATTCTCAATGATCTAGGAGCATCTGCCCCTCAGTCCTCCCTATACTATGAAACAGGGCTCACATCTGACACAGTCCCTCAACCCTCAGAGTTGCCTTTCTCTTTTTGTAGTGTACTTCCTTTATTTTTTTATAGTTTTTTGTGGTATAATGTATAAAATATAAAATTTGCCATTTTAACTATTTGTACATCCCACAATTCATGGCATTAAGCATGTTCCCAGGTTGTACAACCATCACCACCATCCATTTCTAGAATGTTTTCACCATCCCAGACTCTGTACCCATTAAACACCAACTCCCATCTCTTCCTCCCCCACTGCTGGTAACCACTTCTATTTTCTACATCTGTGAATTTGCCTATTTTAGGTCCCTCATGTAAGCAGAGTGATACAATATTTGTCCTTTTATGACTGGGCTATTTCCTTTAGTACAATATCTTTAAGGTTCATCCAGAGTATAGCCAGATATCAGAATTAATTCCTTTTTGAGGTTATATAATGTTCCAGTGTATGTGTATACCACATTTTGTTCATTTGTTTATCTGCTAATGGGCATTTAGGTTGTTTCACCTTTTGGCTATTGTGAATAATGCCACTGTGGAAATCGATAGAGAAGTATCAATTTGAGTCCCTCTTTTCAGTTTTTTAAAGTATAAAACTAGGAATAGAATTCCTAGGTAACATGGTAATCAGCTTTTTAAGGAATTCATGGTCACGTTTTGCACCTAAATTTTCTTCTACTACTTTTATAAGAGGTGAAGTTCTTCAATCCACATGGAATGTTTTTATGTGAATGAATATCCAGTTGTGCCAGTCCCATTCACTGTATCTTTTTTTTTTTCCTGCTGCTGCTTAGAAATTCTAGTAAAACTAAAGTTTTAAGTAAACCTGGAACTGCCTACTCTGGCTTCCTACTCTTTCCACTAACCCAATGTCCACAGCTGTGTGGGAACCCATATCTTTCTTTTTAAAAACTGTTGTTAGTTTTTTCACACATTTTTTCCCTCTCTGTACATTTTAGGATCAAGTTTGTGAAGCTCAATTAAAATTCTCCAGGGACTTTAATTGGAATTGTATTGATTGACAGCTGGTCGGAGGTAAAATGACAATTAAGTCCTTGCATACAGGAACTTGGTATTTCCTCCATTATTCAGGTCATTCTTTCCATCCTTCATGAAAGACCCTCTGCATTCTCTTTTACTTATTTCTTGGGTTTTGCTGATACTGTGAATGCAGCATTCTGCAGCATAACAATGTCTTTAAGTCCTTAAGGGAAAGATTTACTTAGTTAATAATAGTATTAAGCCACTAGTATTTCCTATATTTTCAAACATTTAAGATTGTTCAACTTCTTGCTATTATGGTTTAGGAATAAGAACTGTTACATATAATTCTTTTTTTTTTTTTAGAGTCTTTAAAACAGACGCCACATATTTCTAGACCAAAGAGTAAAGACAATCTTTAGATTCTTGAGGCATATTCTTGATACAGTACTTTTCATTGCATTAAAAATAAAATTTAAATTCTTCACCATTGTCTACTGGCCCTCTCTAGCCAACAGCTTCTGCCTCCCTCTCCAACCACTCCCTCTCCTGCCACTTTCTTCCCAGTCTACCAGATCCCAAAATGATTGTCTCTCTCTCTGTTTCTAGAACACACCAAGCTTATTACCCAATATTAATGAATTAACATAATAAAACATCTCCCACTCACAGAAATCCTCCATATTGTAGCTACAGCATCTGGAGCATATGGTTTCCAAGATTGCTGCAAGCAAGCAGAGAGAGTTTTTAATTGTCTTGGCTCAGGTGCCACATACGTCACATCTGCTCTCCTAGTCCACTAACCAAAACTAGTCACATGATCCAGGCTACCTGCAAAGAAGACTTGAAAATACCAAGAAGGACATGAACATTTGGTGAGCATGCTTGTCTCTGCAACAGAAGCCACCCATTTGCCTTTGCTGTCCTCTTTTCTGTAAGCTGAACATTCTTATGTGTTTGTTAACAATTAACACCTTGCATTCATGAATCGCCAGCACATCTCCTTTCTACAATCATCCATAGAAAGTCTTGCCATTTTCTTACTTGTGCTATTAATATATTCAGACCATATTAGGATTTTGTAATGTGTTTCTTTGTCACCTTTTCTAAATGTGTTTTCTGATTTGAGAATGCATTTTAATGTTATGTATTTTGCTGGTATGGAGTTTTTATTTTTAAATAATAATCTATTTTATACTTGTTAGATTTGACTAATAGTAATCAATTCTAATGTTGTTTTCCTTTAAACAATTTTTCTACTGCTTTTGAACTTGAAAATACCTTTTCCCTCTAAATGCTACACATTGACCTATGCCCTATTATTTGTATGCTTAGCCTTTTTATGTTTTACTTTGCAGTAAAATAGTTGAAATAATTTGTTGCTAGCACATGGAGAGAAAATGAAGACCTACTTACAAACCTAAAAAAGATGTCAGATAATGGACCAGAACACAGATTTGCATCATTACCTTAGACAAAGTGGCTACCAAGCTGAAGTTTTGTTTATCACACAGGGGTGGATGGGGGGGTAGAAAGAGGAGTACCCAAGAGATTCAATCCAAGAAAGAGGTGCCACCATCAGATCTGTATGACAGATGGTTCCCGTGGTGTAAATCAACACATCTGGCTATCGCTGGTTACTAAAACATCCAACTCTCTTTCCAGTTCTGATTCCAAGTTCTCAGTATTCACTTCTAATTATGAGCATCTTCCCATGTTTCTTGACTACTGGGGGAGAACACCCTTATTAAAAACTACAAATATCCTGTCTACCGACAGCTACATCTGTGTTTCGAAGGAGTGAATTGGCATTCTGTTTATCACCTCACTCTGTGAATCTATTTAGAGAAAGTCATTTCCCCAGAGCCTCTTTAGCTTATGCTTAAAGTCAAATTTCACAGCCTAAGAATTCAGCTCAGACCCTTGAACCCAGTGACCACCCAAGAGCTAGCTATTCCTTGTTTGGATTTGCCTGGAAATCCACCATTTGCCCCAGATGGTACCTGTAAGTAGCTCAATGCATGATTGCTTCAAAAACCAATGGTTTTCCTAAATGGTTTGTATTGCCCTTCAATAGGAACTATACTAACCTCTGGATTATTGTAGTTTTAGTATTTGTGCTACCAAAATAAGCACGAGTGACATTTAAAATATAAACTGGAATGAACAAATGAGCCAAATCTGACCTGCTGTCTGTGTTTGCAAAGTTTTCTTGAAACATAGTCACACACATTCATTTAGATATTGTGTATGACTGCATTTGCTCTCCAACTCTGAAGCTGAAGCAGTTATACCCAAAAGACCCCATAGCCCATGCACCTAAACTACTTACTATTTTGCCCTTTACAAACAAGGTTGCTAACACTGACACTTGATCTAGAGTTGGCAGAGAAATAAGATAAAAGAAAGCTGGATCTCCAGATGAGTTGCCAGAGTAATGCCCAGCCAGTCTGCATTGCCCATCATCAACTAAAATGAAATCTACTTCTATCTTGTCTTACTACTGGGTTTTGTGGTATGTTGCCATAATTAACCATCATATAACAAATCAATTTGGGAACTGATATGTATTTAGCAGATTAGGCTACTTTATGATACACTAATAATTGTTCTTAGATACACTAATAATAGTTTAAGAACTATTATTAGTTATTTAAGAACTATTATTATTCCGTGCTTTTAAGAAATAGGTTTATTACTCACTTCTGTGTACATCTGTCCTCTGTGAATCAGCTGCTAGTTCTGCTCCACATCTTCTCACTCCAGGACATGTGGAGGGAGCCTCCATCATTTGATCACTAATGTGGCCAAGACAAGGGGAAAGAATATATAAATCATAAACTGTCTCTTTAAGCTTCACCAGAAGTGACCCATGGCTTTTGCTCATGTTCTATAGACCAGGCTAGGGGATGTGCTATCTCATATGGGATGAGTTCAGGAAGGTGGGTGAAGCTCTGTCCCATCTCCCTAGCCACTTGGACCCCCTGGAACACAGGGTATTTCTCTACAGGCTCGTAGCGTCCAACTTTGAACACCTGCTTCACTCTCTTCCTTTTCCCAAGAGTTTCCTCCAACACGAGAGAGCTTGTTTCAATGTACAGGTGCAATCCAGAAATACAAGACTGCTCATGCTGCTGGGGCAGCCTTTAACAACTGCAGGATGATCCTTGGAATCCAGGCCTCCATATCCCTTTCCTCTGACATCGAAATTCTGGGGCATGATCCACTTGATTTCACAGGGTCTTCAAGAGGATTGAGCATTGGTTGCCCAAAGCTCTCCCCGATCCCTGCCCCACTTCCTCATTTCCTCACTTTTGTTTTCTGAGATCACTTCCTAAATATACTACACTGCATTCAAGGCTTCGTCTTGGGGGCTGCTATCATGGGTTGCATGTCCTTCCTAGTTTCAAGGGAATGAGGAAAACAATTTCAGTAAGACTCCAGAATGAGCACAGCTCTCCTGATGCCCTCAGCTTCCAGGACCTTTCAAAGTTTGGTATCTAAGCATCCTGGACCCCATGCTGCAGTCCCAATGAACCATGCTTTGTCCCTTTGTATGCCTATATATGATGTATGATGATATCTTTCTCCTTTCTCAAAGTAAATGGTTGATTTCAAAAGAAGTAAATTCAGTTTCGTTGGGCATTTCCTGTCTTCTGGAATACATGCATTTTCTTATTTAGTACTGCCTCAGTTCAATCAGGCTGATATAGCAAAATTACTAGAAACTGGTGCCTTAGAAGCAACAAACATTAATTTCTTCCTGTTCTGGAGGCTGGGAAGTTCAGGATCAAGGTGTTCGGTGCCTGGTGAGAGCCTATTCCCTGTGGCAGATTTTCATCACATCCTCATAAGGGCAGAAGGAGCAAGTGGGTTCCCACAGGTCTCTGCCCTATGACCTAGTCAGCTCCAAAGCCTCACCTCTTAATGCCATCACCTTGGGGTCTGTTTCAGTGTATGAATTTGGGAGGCACACAAACATTCAGAGCAAAGCAAGGACATTTGTGTGTAAACTTTGTTGAAAGCAAAATGAGAGTGTTTTGAGCTCTGTGCACAATTTAAGGTTCCTGATCCAAGAGACTTTAATAGTGAGAAAGCCTTGTCTTTGAATACCAACCACACTTAATAAGTTTGAAATGCAGAATAACCTGGAAGATAACCTCTCCTTGAACTCCATGGCAGACCTCTGAGAAGTAAGCTTTGTGCTTAAAGACATTGTCACAGCTATGGTGTTCACCTCTTAAACTGGGGGAGGGAGCTAGGAATGTAAAAGGAACTATGAGGCAGATAAATGGCCCTACATTTTTCATGCACTGTGTTGGTGACCTGATAGCCCCAGGCTCAAAGAAATCTCTCTATTTAACAAATATCGATGGGTGTGGAAACATGAAGGTAAGCAATACGCACAGATTCTGCCCTCAAGAACTAGCCTCCTGATATGTGCTATTAAAGAAGGAATTATTCTGACCCTACTATTTGCTGTGTAATCATGGGTAAGTCACTAGGTCTATTTTGGCCAACATTCTTGTGAATTTTTTTATAAAGAGGAGATAAAATCCAAAGGCTTCAGTTTCTTGCTGAATAACTCCAATAAGTCAACTTAGCCTTCATTGGGTATTGGGGACCAGGCAGGAGTAGATACTTATATGGAGTTAGATGAGGTTATGTTGGACCCCAAAGGATTACTGAAGTTCTTGGCATATTTTTTCCAATGTCAAGCACGTGTGTGTGTGTGTGTGTGTGTGTGTGTGTGTGTGGTGTGTGTGTGTAGTTACAGTTGGTCCAAATTAAGACTTGTTGACTTTTCCAAAGTCCTACCCTTGTTGTCCATTTGGAGAAAGCTGCCCCTGAGAAAGAAGTAAGACTTGGGGTTACATGGTGGGAATTAGGGCAAGGTGGTAGGAGAAGAGTTGAGGCAGATGCTATGTTTAGTTGTCTGTCCCCAGCATCCAAGTCCCCAGATCCTTTCCCAATTATTTTCCAATAATTCTTAAGAAAGCTACCATGGAGAACATTTTTTTAAAGTATTTGCTTTACCTGAGGAAGATAATAAAAGAATACACATCTGTTTAACATGGGTAGTTGTTGGAGCCACAAAAGAGATGCATTCTCTAGAACAAGGTTTCTTAGCACTTTTTTTTCCTATTATTGTCTCCCTAAGGAGAAAAAAAAACATAATGAATTAAAGTTAAATAATAAATAATTTTAACTTTATAATAAATTTCTTCCCAAGGAGAAAAAGTAAGTACTAAAGGATATGATTTTGTCAGGTAGCATTGAGTTTTCTGGTGGGATGATCAGGGAAGACTATTATAGTATTTAAATTTTGAATCCCCTAAGAACCAATTTTTACTTTCTTAGGGACAGTATTTCCCCTATTGAAAATTCATGCTCTGTAAGATGGGAGAATTCTTTCATAAATTGAGGAAATATCCTACAGCCCTCCCATTCACTCTTCCCAAGTCTCATACTACTTAGTGTCCTGGGTGCCTTATTTAATTATTATTTAATGCCTGAATACATGAAACTGAACACATGGATCTGCAGACAGGACCCTCTAGATGTCAAGGATTCCCTACAATGTAATATCTTGTGATATTAAAACACCCCCAATCTTAAATGTGAAAAGAACAATGTAGCAGTGTAGTTAGCACCCTAAAGTGATCTCACCAAGCAATTCAAGCTCAATGCTAGGTTGATATTTGATATTTATTCAATACTTACCCTATGCAGCACACTGGGGTAAGACATTCCTTTGAGTCTATTAATCTTAAACAATGTCAGTCTTTCATTGGCCATTTGGAGTGAAAATATTAGGCAGTCATACAAGGCTGGAACTGGAGGTGGTTTCAAAGAAGAAACCTTTTCCATCTTTACAAGCCATCCAAAATGGATCAGCAATTCATTTCTCTAAAACATCTTAACTTTGTGACCCTGAATTGAAAACAGTCCTCAGGGAAACAAAGGTAGGGAGTCCCTATATCGAACCCATCTTCCTTCCAGAAAAGTCTAATAGAAAGTGAATCAAAAGGACCTTCTTATTAAATTTCTTTTGGAACCTGAGTTTTGTACTATCTTATGTAGCTGTGCTAATAACATTCTGCTTAGAGAACCAAATGTCCTTACTGTTCACAATGTCTCTTTATTTAAATTATTTCTGATCTGGAATGCTGTTTCTTCATCTTTTTGGTCTCTCAGTAAAATTTTACACTTTTGCCAAAAATCTTATACTCAGGAGAAATTAAAATCAACAGAGAAATTAATGGGCTCAATCTTTATGGAACTATGGAACTCTGTAGGACAATTCTTCTGCAGAGAAAATTGGGCTCCTTGAGGGTATAATTAAAGGTAATTCAAAACCAGATGTGGGGCAGAGTTAGGAAGAGCAAGACAGATGCTCGGCATCAAATCTCACAGTAGGGGTGGGAAGGAAGGGAGGGAGAGAACTGGAGGGAAGGCAAGTTATCAAAATGATAAATACTTAAGTGTACTTATGTCACCAAATTCACTTCCACCATACCAAGTCTTTATTTCACATTACTGGGCAAAACAATTTTAAAATCATATATAGTTTTTTTAAAAAGTTAAGGGAAACCAGACTGCCAAAATTATGCAACATGGCTCTCCAAAATTTAAGGATGAGACAGGCAACATTTCACTATCACAGTCAAGTTCATGTCAGATGACAGGTAATATCTTCTAGTTGTGATTTCAGCTGTATTTTATTAGGAGCTAAGCAGACATATTAACTTGCACAGACCTGAGAGTTATTTAGCATCTTTAGCTAGTAGTTACTCAAAATGCCAGAGGGAAAACCATCAGACAGCTTTCCAAATGATTAGAACAAGCATATTGGGATATTGCAGGTATTTATGTTGGGTCAGAAATGCAAGTAAAGGAATGAATTTAAGCACATGTTTATATATGAGGAAGCTATGGAGATTTATTTGCAAAGTGTTTGCAGGTCTGCTTACGAAATGGAAGGAGAAATAAATATGAGTTGACTGGCTTTTAACCATTATTGAACAATTGAGACTCACATGAACCATTTGGGTACACTCGGCTTTGCCACTCCAGGCACTTTCTGGTACTACCTAGATTTCTTAAGCAAGAAACCCTGAAATTATTTAATTTCATTGTTAGTGTTGCTTCTATAGTTCCATCCACATTATCATTCACATGGGAAAGAGAGATGGAAACTGTCAGATCAAATTTGGTTTTGTAATACATACACTTGGAGTTCATAAACAACTAGAAAAGAATAATTTATCAGACATTTCAGCTGGTTTGACACAATACCAAGTGAAATGAATACTTTAAACAATTTGATTAGTGTAGAAAGTCAGTCTGAATAATACTTGAATCAGGAAGTGTTTTCATACTGAATATGTTCTGGTCTACTTGTTTCAAATCAACCAGACATCCTGCCAAGTCTCTGCTGTGTTTTGTGTTTTATGAACATGTCGTTACTTAACATCACCTGTCCAGTCGGGTCCATCCAGGGCAAGCAAGGTGAAAAGATAACTGACATTGGCCAACTGTCACGAGTTGATGTTTGAAAGAAAAATCCTATGAACCATAATGCTTTCAATTTTCTGAAACAATTAGAATGGAAGTGATGGTTTTTGTTAAGATTTATCTGTAGGGTGCATGTAACTAAATGTGATATTAACTTTATACATTTAATTTGTAACTAAAAAAAATTTTTTGAACCTATATTGGGGTGGAAAGAATACTTGATCAGACTTATATCCTGGTTTTGTCTTAGAAAATAGTTCTTATTTGTAGATAGTTCGGGAACTACAATCAGAGCCATGTTATTGTCTTTGATTATGGCAGTGGGTGTCAATGGGAATATTTGGCAATGTCTGGTGACATCTGTGGACATCATAATTGCGTAGGGATTGGGGCTACTACAAACATCTAGTAGGCTGAGGACAGGGATACTGCTAAACATCCTACAACTCACAGTATAAGCTCCCACAACAAGGAATCATACAGTCCAAAATGTCAATAATGTCAAAGGCGCTGGGTTATGGCATAACTCTTGGTTATGAAAAAGAAAATCAATGAGTTAGATTTTCTTCAGGAACAACTACGGAGCCTCAGATCATTTCTGCACATGATCAGAAGATTGAGAGAAAATAGTCAGTTTGGAGTAATGAGGTATTTCTAGTCCTTTCTATATCAAAGTGGTAAACAAAGACTTAATGAGGTAAAACTTTAGAAATAATGAAGTTAAGTATTTATAGGAGCCTCAGTTTCCTCATATGTTAAATAAGGACCCCAAAATTTTAACATTTTCTAGCAACATTCCAATTATTTTCCTTCAAGACAGAACTCAATTTCTTGTGGTTGGTTGGCCATTTTTAAAAATGCTTTATGTTCATCGTTTCATTTACTTAGATAACATTAACTGTTTAGTGATTAATAGGATATGCATAATTTAAGATATGTTCTTAGAAGAAAAGCAAAATTCTATCACTTCTTGGAACTCTCCAAGAGACTATCCTCACCCCCATTGAGAGCTGGCAGCCACATCCTCTGCCCTTGAATCTGAGTTGATCTTGTGACTTATTTTGTCCAATAAAAATGTCAGCTCTGTGACAGTTCCAGGCCAGGCCTAAAAGACCTGACAGCTTCTGTTTTTCTACTCTCAAAGTTCAGACTAGACCACAGAATTGCTGGAGCTCATTGGAGAAAAGTCCTGGAGCATGAATGGCCATCCTAGATGCTCAACCCCAGCTAAGCTACTAGCTTCTTGAACAGCCCAGTCAACAACGTGCAGAGCAGAAGGACCACAGCTACCCATGCCCTGAATGTCAAAGTCATAC